TCAAACCAATAGGGCATGTAGATGGCTTCTAGTGAAAAGTTGGTGATATACCTGAAGAGTAAGAAACGAACTCTTTACACTTCTGATTTGTCAGTCCTAATATTTATGTATTTGTGGCCTGTATATATGAACGAAATACGTAAAGGGAGAGATACACTTCGTGGATATTATCAATGGTGCCATCTACTATCGAACCGACGCAACCATCTAATCTGACTGTTAAGGAAGAATTTGAAAGACCACGACAATGAAATAATTGAATTAACTGAAAGTTATGAAATGAGCATTCTCTTAAATATTTGTTTAGAATGAGTTGGTTGATGTTCGGTATTGGTAAGTGCAAACAGCTCAAAAGAAACGCAAAACGATCAAGCGATGTTCAGTGGGAATAAAATTCACAAATATAATTGAAGCCTAATTGAACTCAAATGAACAATTATAAACACTTCATTAATATTAGCTGCTATCATCATTTCTCTTTCCCTAATCTCTCATTCTTTTTTTTTGCTTATATTTCATATTAACTTATCAGTTAGAAATAGAAAATATGCTAATAAAATTTAGTTAATTGATGACAAAAATATCAATAAATTATTGTTAAACTGTAAAAATTTGCATTAGTTCCTTCCAAAAATAATCACGTTAAACTACAAATGCCTCAAACAAAAGCTTAAATTCATTTATATCAAATTACGAAACACAAATCATTCAAGCGAGTCCCAACTTGATGCGAGTGCTCTCGAGTCTACTCGTCTTTTATTCTCACATATATATGCTTGAGAAGACAGAAAAAGTGCTCATTCTTGTAATGAATATTTCAATTTAATTTCAGAAATTCCACAAAAATTTTGCTTCATTCAAATATTTATAGCTGTTTAGCAAAGAGATGGAGTTACAAGTCGTCACGTACGTCACTTGCATATTTAAAAAAGAACATAAGAGGTTAAATAGCGCTGACAGTTTCATTTTCATCTAAAAAAGTGCATCAATAATCGTCTACATGTCATATTTTACAACTGAAAGTTTTGCGCTCAACGTCCTATCGTTACTGCGCCTTTTTTCCTTTATGCTTTTCTTCCTATCAGCACTTCTAATATTGTTTGGCAGAATATTTTCTTTCTTTCTTAACCCATTGATAAGAAAATTTATATTTTTTTTATTGAAAAAAGTTCGGCCTATCAAATAGCTTTTTATTTTTCTTTTTTCTTTTTTTTATTGAAAATCCAATAGTTTTTTGTTCTAAACAAAAATTTTGAAAATAAACGGACCGAATTCTCGTATTCATACTTTTCTATCATTATTATCACTATTTTCCTTTCTACTAGCATTATCGATTAGCATCCAATGACGAATGAAATGGTAAGAAATGCTAAAATTCACTTCATATTTTTTCCTATCGTATATAAGATTTTTTTATATTCACACTAACAGGCAGAAGCAGCATATAATAATTATTGCTTGGTAAAAAAAACGAATGATTGTAAACTAAATGAAATAAGTTTTATTAATACTACTACACTATTATTATCATTATCATTCAACAAATAACCATCTTGATTGGTATGACTATACTACAGCTAATAAAAAAATAGGCTACTTAAGTCAAGCAGTACTAAGAGAAGGAAATTTCTATTTTTTGTACTTTATCTACTGCTAGTAATGTGATAATTTATATCAGTGGAACAAAAAATTGTTCTGGAAATAATGACGAATAAAATGACGCATACACAATTTAGTACCAATATATTAATAGAAATGATAAGTGTAAACTAATCGATGAAAGTACAACTATTCATATCACAGATGCTGAATTCGATGTTGTAAGCGCTTATTAATAAAATGAAATGAAATTTGGTGTGATTTGATTATTTGATCTAACGAATAAAAATAGCAAAAAGAATTCATTGATATGCGTCTATCTAATTAATATGTATGATAAATACAATGAAGATTTGTATGGTGCAAATAATTACTAATAATAAAATATTAGCACCAATGACAAACATTTCGAGTTTTACATGTCATTAACATAACAATGAATACTTTTTAATTTGTTACAATAATATGGTTGCGAAAATTTGAAAAATTATTTTAGGGCATTTTACGAATACACTTTGAAAAAGCTCAGTCTTCCATTAAGAAACCAGTTTATGTAAATCAAAAAAAGAGAAATTGTTACAAATTCTTTCGATTTATATATCTCTATCAAATACTTTTTTTTCTTCCGAAACATCACCGTTGAATCCAAAAAATCTTTAAAAAAAATCAAAAAAAAAGAAATTACTTTCCCAAAGTGTTATTGCTCTAAAATGGTAATTTGAATGATTCACTGATCTTAGTTATGAATAAAATCTACCACCATAGTTATTGGTCCATATTTTGGTTAGTGACTGAATTTAAATTTAAAGATATAACTTCAGAAACAAATAGTGGAGATCCCGAGATGTTTAAGATTTCATTTTTTTAACAAATTTGTCAGCTATAATTTAAATCTCACGTACTGCGCTCTTCAATTTGAAGTTTCAAGCTTTTTAATTCTTTCCAGTTATTTGTTGAGCAATTAAGTCATTTGTGCCGTTAAAAAATTAAATTTGAAGGAGTTGTGAAATGATGATATGTCATCAAAAAATTTTACTTTGCATTTCAATTTTTGTTCTGTTTTAATTTCAATTTTAATTTCAATTTTTAATTTTAATTTTAATTTAGTTTCAATTTTTTTGTATTTTAAATTTCAATTTCAATTTTTGTTCTGTATTTTCGTATAGACTTTTCTTCATCAAATTATTCAATGTTCATTCTTAGAAGTAAGGTATAATCTCTTTTAAAGTTAAACCGAAGAAAGCAGTTTCTAATATCTGATCTTAGAGAAAGAATTATTAATAACTATTTTTAAATTCTACCGTGTGTAATACAGTTTCTATTTTAAAAAATGCTGAAAAATGCACAAATACTCACGGCGCAATATTTAATCCGATGAAAAACTGTGCAATGTCATGATCCGTTGCTTGCCAGGGAAGACCGCGGGTTCGAACGACCACCTCGGAGATCAGCGATGTTTCCGGTAAACTGAAGTAAGACAAGCGAAATTTTTAGCAAACAACGCTTTATTTAATATTTTGTGATGCTTATTTTCATATCGAACAACAATGTTACTTTCAAATTTTTAATTTTCCAAACAAAATCAGTAAAGAAATTTTTCAAATTTAAAGTGGTAAAATGCAATTGCGCTGTTTAATCTAAAATAAAAATGGAAGAGAGAGCAACGAAGTTTAGGAATTGAAATTTACATTTTTAATTACTTATTTTTCTGATTAAAGCTGCAAATTTAGAATATTTTAAAATTTCAATAGATGGCCAAAATAAACTGAATTTTAAAGACAATTTAAATTCATTGCACTTGCTGATATTTATTGCTGCAATGCATTTATGAAACAATAAACTGCCAACTATTCAATTTTGATTTGAAATACGACAGCCAAAAATTATTGAATACAAAAAATGCTTCCATCCATTTATTTTCTAGAAGTAAAAAAAATTTGAACCAATTTGCGTCCAAAAATAAAATGCCTCTTTCAACACTCTACAAAAATGTGAAAAGCGGAAAATTAAAAATGATAAGAGTAAAAGACGAGAATCATTTGACCTCTTGATAAAAAGGAATTCAATCTTCACAACAGCCAAGATTAAGAGTAAGGATTTGAAAGGAATTTCAAATATATATTTTGCATTTTCAACTCTTCGGAAATTTAAAACGGTGAGAATTTAATGATTCGAATTAGTAAATAAATTCAGTGTCTATAAAAAATATTAATCAAAGTATCAAATTAAATGATAAAATAATTGAAACGGTTCCGCAATAAACGAACCATACTGCATTGCGCAGTTCGGTTTTTACGTCCTCAACAGATCCGATGAAATTTTCGGTTCCTGTAAAGTAAAATTGTTTTAAAATTGATGAAATTGTCAAAATTCAAGTAGACGAGACATTTTAAAGATCGGAACTTTCTTTTTCTACCATTTGCATTTAATGTTTTTTAATATGTGTTTAAAAACAATACCAAAAGAAATCTTGAAATTTGGCATACAATTATTACATTTTTTATTCCAAAAGAAAGAGCAAAATTGATTTAAAATTTTTGTAAAACTTTAGTTTGATATGAATTCAGCTAATTTAAATGTACAGGAATTTTGATTGCCCTTACTGATATAGGCAATCAAAAATATTTAAAGAGAACATTGCCAAAACTTTGAATATGGATAAGTATTCTCGCAAATCTCTTCAAGAACTTTTCGCTCCGTCTTCTTCACTTACTCTCTTTCAACAACAACAAAAGGAAAAACAATTCTTGGACAGAATGTTGGTTGCTTGTTTTTTTTATTATCATACAGTGGACATGTACAATTGGACATTGTCAACATGAGGCGCTGCTTTGCCTCGTACAATCACAGACAACATTAACTACTAACATATATACTTATCACACCTGTAAATTAGCTTCCTATTATCATTTTGATGTATTGCTCTGAAGATACTTTTTATGATATTCTATTTCATTTTTGATTTAAAAATATCCTTCAGTTGTTGTCATAAAAAAGCGTAAAGTTCTGACTGACAACCAATTTCGGTCATCTAATATGTAAAATAAAAAGTGATATTAAAAAAAAATAAAGGATGGAAAATACTTGTATCATTTTAAACTGATCTCACTATATTTCAAATTGAATCAAATGATCATATGAGCCCAAACCTCTCAAATGTATATCATCTATATATCTTAACTGTGTTATTAAGATATATCAAAAATTTGCTTTTCATGAGTTCTTCAGATTGTCTAAAAAGCAAATCAAAAACTTTATGCTGGAAAATTTTCCAATTTCTCAATATGCTAATGATTTGTTTAGGAAATTGCTTCACTATTAGATTCATTTCAAGCTCTTGAACAAATGATATAATTAGATAAGGATGACAAAGTTAATGAAGTACAGATAAGAGAGATTTGATTCATTGTTTCAAAGTTATTTGGCAGTGGTCATAAAAAAATGGAAGGCAAGATCAAGGGTGCTGTTGACACACACACTATTATGTTGACAAATTTCCGCATTTACATTCTTCATAATGATATGATACAAATGGTCTGAACAAGTTGGCTTGTAGAGGAATCAGATTTGAACCTATAAAGTCAACATAAGTAGGATTTAAGCGATGATGCAATGATGAATAATACACTTACAACGAAGGCGCAGTGTGTTTGTGCGGTACCGAGTGAGTGTAATTATGGTACCACGAATACATTGCTTCAGAGAGAAGAATCGCTTTAACAATAGCCATTTTAAACATCTGTAATTTTAAGAATATCGAAAAAACAATTTGATTCTTTCGGTTCTGTTTTTTAGAGTGTTTTCAAAGCGAATATAGATTATTTCCTTGCATACTGTATTATTTCCTGCTTATCAAACTTCTCGACAACTGGTATCCTTTGTGGGAGCGCAATCATCGGCTTGGCAAAAGTCTGGTAAGAGCATGATTAAACTATTTAATCATCCTAAAAGTGGGTGACCTTCTTCAGTTCGTCATGTGGAATAAATCTGAAGAAAATTCAAACCTCCCTTCTCTTCATCAATCTCCACTAAACTCCTTCCAATAGTGTCACTTTAAACTTGCAGTTTCATGATGTGAACTGCAAATAAATAAATTCAAACCACTGAAATTTTATCCAGTTTTTTTTTGTCTTTAAATTGGTCAAATACCATTAATTATTTTCAGAATTCTCTTTATTTCCTTTTATGATCCTACTTTTTCATTCATTTACAATGATTATTTGATTTATTATTTGATGAAGACGATTAAATGTTATGTGATGAATACCTCCTATCAGTATATTTCCATTCTATCAATCGACTTGAATCTTCGTTACAAGAAAGAATATGTGGGAGAAAAATTATAGCTCGTTTTTAATCTACGATATACAATATCATTTGATAATAAATAAAGGTATAATAGCGATCATTTGGATAGCAATTCAATTTTAAAATTCATTCCATTCATCACAGTTCTCGGCCTTTCTAGCAGTAAAAATAGATGATATGTGTTAAAAAATTTTTGTTTTCATTTTACGCAGCCTTAGTCAGTAGTGTAATTGATAAAATAAAATTTAAGACAGGTAACTGTTACTTCAATTCTAATTGGAATCACAAATAAAATACTGAAAATATGAGACGTTTTCAGATAAAAAGAAATCCATGGAGAAACTTTACTTCGAAGCCATAATATTAAAAATTGAATGTCAAAACTGCAAATTAAAATGACTCAAATTGAACATTAAATGTCTTTTTTTAGTGTAGTTGTATCAAAATCACGTACACATTCAAATTAATATAAAGAATTAGCATGAATAATATCTCGAAAAAAAAATATTTTGCAAAAATGCTTTTCTGACTCAAATTGAAAAATAATTGTCTTTTTATAGTGTAGTTGTGTCAAAATCATGTACACATTCGAATGAGTTAAAGACATTAAATTAGAATTTAAACAACAAGAAAGGTGACATTCTGCAATGTACAAAAATAAAAAAAAATTTGCATCAGTCAGGTTGAAATTGAAAAGAATATATTAAATTAACAAAATCTGATAAAAGTTGTCGATAAAAAAGGAATGGAAATTAATGAAAAAGCTTTTACTTACCTTCACATAAATAATGTATCCTGTCACGTATCAGATCCAATTCATCCTCTAATGAGCATTTTCCATCAATTGGTAAAGCTTCAAATCGCGAGATATCGATAAATTTATGGAAGAGTGGAGATAATGCAAAGGATAACCGTAGTGCAAGAGGATGTAACACCTGTCTGATGGCACTAATACCATTTGTTACTAATATTGAACCAGCTGGTACCGTATCTTCGATCTGTAATTCAAAATAAAATTTTGAAGTAGTTTACAATATTAGTGAGTGCATATGTAATCTATGACAACATGTAGAGCTATCATCCAACAGTACACGTCTGCTAATTGCTATATTTCATTGAACCAACCTAATTTTTCCATTCTTTATTTGAATTTAAAAACTAATCCAATTAAGAAATTGATCATTAGTAATAATAGTAATAATGTTAAACGATGATGAAAGAATAGTTTGCAAGCTTGGAGAGTAACATATATATTAGCTCTGAATAACTGAAATTGTTAATCGATCCTGTCATATATTTAAAAGATGTTTCAAAGAAAACAGTGGTTTCAATAGTTTTTTTTTTTCGCAACAAGCATTAGAAGTAAATTTTCATCTTTCATTTTCTTCCAAACATTTTGAAGTTTTCAATAATATACGTAAAAATCTCTACATGTAAAATTTTTATTGTTTTGTTTGAGTTTTTTTTTATTTGAATAAATCTGTCGCTAGAAGTTTTAAACAATCGCATGAAAATCTAATTACGATAATAATATTTTCATTTCTGGTTTTAAATTATTTTGCTGAAATTTCTACCGATTGTTTTCAAGTTTACAAATTTCAAGCTCATTTAATTTGTATATTATGCAATATGAATTAGGAATTATTCCAATCATATGATAACAATTTCGTTTTCCAAGACGAGGAAGAAGAAATAATAATGTGTGGACTGAGCAATAAGTTATCTTCGTTTAAATTTTATATCTGTTAAAAATTAAATCATGAAGGTCATGTATGACAAACATGACGTAGTATAATGTCTATAATGATAATAATAATGGAAAATTGTTTGTACATCATTAAAATATTATTCAAAATGAAATTTAGTAACCGAAAAAAATTTGAAGAAAACGAAAAAAAAATTACTAAATGAGTGCTAAAAGAGAAAAATGAGATGACAAATATTTCACTAATAAATATCATTAAGTCATAAGAGTGATCGAGAAAAAGATTAAATAGAGAATTGACATGGATTATGTGTTGCTTAACGATCAGCTAATAGCATTTACTTCAATATCAGAGATTAAAAGATATTTGAAGGTAAAAAGTTAACCTTCTGAAGAGCAGCTTGTAATCCTAAAGAATTGACATCCAATTCTTCAATGGTAGTAACTTTATTAATGTATTGATGATCAATGATAGTAAAAGCAATGGTTTGTACAGGTGCGGAATCAGATCCTTGTTCCCTGGTTGCATTACAACCGGATGTCCTTAGAGCGAATGGAATTAGTGAAGCTGGTGTGGCTGAGGAAATTTCTTGTGGACAAGGTGCCATATAAACTGGCTTCATCAAATTGGTATGGACAACAATGGGTAAAGTGACTAGAATGAGGTAGGATTTGGAAGTAGGAAATTGCTCCGGGAAAGAATGCTCGAAATTTTCAGTGATCAGTACTGCAGTGATTGGTAGATGGAAGAGGTGAAGCGATAAGAGTATAGCTCCCGGGATGCGGGATAAGGAAAAGGAAAAGTACTGCGGGATGGAATGGATGGATGGATGGGTCGAGTTGGCGTAATAATGGGAAGTGAGCATCCGAAATGTGTCAATGTGGCTGAGAGAGCCATACGGCGTAAAGGAGGAATTCGAGCAATTGCCCACGTAAAGAGAGAGTGGTAGGGAACGGTGACTGCCGCAAGTTGACGAATTTTTCTTTTTCAAATACAGTTCGAAAATGTATGTTTCGTAGCCCAAAGATGAAACTTTTAGACAAACAAGACTAGTTGATAAATCTAACAGAGGGACAGAGAGACAGAGATAGAGAAAGAAAAAAAGAAACATGAGAAGTCAAGTGGTGACAGTTTTATATGTATGCGTGTGTATGTGTATGAAGAGACCATGTAAAGGAAGGTTGACCAATAGTATGACAGTCCTATAAGATGATGATGATATGACATTTGACAGGGGAGGATTAGAACAAATGAAGAGAGAGAGAGGAGGAAAGAGTTTTGCGATTCTCGATATCACATTTTGGGATGTTTTCTACGATCATCATTATATCGAGGCTCAAAATAGTGTCCTTGAACGCATATGCGTACTATCTTTCGCAATTGGTCTCTCTGTCCAGTAACAGCTTTACCGCAGTGTTTGTCACTTAGTTACTGTTGCTACTGTATAATTGTTATTTCTAAAATTACAGATGTTATCATAATAAAAATATCAAAATTAGTAATAACTGAAGATTGCGCTTAGAACTATTAATTTTTCGTTTTTACACATCGGATTCGGTTTGATATCTTGTAAAACCGGGAAGCACAACAAATAAATCTGTTATGGTGGATGTGAACCAAATATATGAACTTGGCATTGAGCTTTATTAATGCGAACCCACAAATATGATGAACACGATCGAGTCCGATGTTATACAATCGTATGATGACCTTTGGTGCAAATAAATGGAACCAATGATAAACTTCAGAATTTGCAGAAACTTAGTGTATCATAATTGCAGATTATAAAATAAAAAAAAGTAACTCAAAAATTTTGTTTCATAGAAAAAAACTAACTCAAAAATTTCGTTTCATTCAATCCAACATTCCAATCAATCCCTGTTTTGAAATGACAAATACTGTTCGAAAATTTTTTCGAACTTTTAAGAGTTGTCCAGCTTTGAGCATGATTTATATGCCTTAAATATGAATATAGATCATTTTTGAAATGTTCATAAAATAGTCCATAATTCGAGTTGCGTTGACACTTTTCCTGTGATACGGAAATTTTACGAGAAATATGTTTTTATACTTCATTGAGAAATATGTTTTTATACTTCATTGAGAAATATGTTTTTATATTTTCATTTTTTTAACGAATTGTCGAGCACTTGGAAAACATTTTTAAGAGTGCCGCTACCAATCGAAGGGAATGTTAAAAGGATGAGAGATAGAAGAGAAAGAGATATAAACACAAAAAAGAAATCTTTTGTAGTTTACTTGACAATACTATTTCCATTAAATTCAATTGATTTTTTGTTAGATGAGAAGTTACTCACTGACTCATTGTTTGAACAGATAAATATTTTGACGAGACAACTCCTCTCTCTCTCACTCTCTCTCTCCCTCTCCCTTTCTCTTTCCGAAATATTGTCATTTCATCTCTTTCTACTACAAAATGCAATAATATCGCAGGCAGATATGTCCACTTCATTTTCTTCCCGAATGTTCCCTTAAGTACCACTTCTCCGACTGTGCGTAATCTCATTAAAGCTTATAAAAGAATATATGTAAATTTATATTTACAAATATTATAACAAAGAAACATTGCATTTTCAGCTAAAATGCAATATTTATAGAACAAAATAAGATTTTTTATGATTATATGTTTCAATAATTTCCTCTAAAATTTAAATCGTAATCGAAAAAATGCACCGTATTTGTTAATTTGCAAATTTTCCGAAACAATGAAGCAAGTTTATCGCATAACAGGTTAGTACAATAATAAAAATTGAACAAATTAAAAAAAACAGATCGGAAGAAAAGTTGTCAAATGAGCTAATTATAATTGTAACAAAAAAAGACAAACATCATAAAATTTTCTGTTTAATTAAAATGAGTGATTTAGGAAGGGAGTTCGGATGCCCCAAAAATAAAACCTGAAACTTATTGTTGTATTTTCTTCTCTTTTTCCATTCGATTTATGTGAATTAAATGCACATCATTTTGTAGCCATTTCATGTTGCTCATGATAGAGAAGAGAATGAGCGGCATAAAGTAAAACTTTTTTTTATTTCAAGATCCTGTTCATTTTTAGAAATTTTATAAAGACTATAATTCCCATAATTTTGCTTGGAGTCAGCCTATTTCACGTCGACACCACTACGAGTTAATGCTCTTTTTGGTCTCGACTGTAATCATATGGGAAAACATATTTCCATTTGCATGAACTTATGAAAAATATATGATTATTCCTCAGCAACCATTGTTGGTCTTAAAATATCTTCATTATTTGCTAGAACTGTTACAAAAGGAGAAAACACAATTAAAAATTAAGGAGAAATTTTAATGTTCAAAGTTTAAATGTGCAAATTATGAAATTAAAAGTTAGAACTCAAAAAAATCCGACAAAGCGGTAGAACTCATTTAATCAATGATTTAAAGTAATGAATCCAGGGACTGAATTTTAGCATAAAAAATAACGATTAAAGAACTCATTATTAAAGAACTCATTTGCTACTGCTTTCTCTTTTCGGAGATGACAAAATGAACGAGAAAGAGAGTTTATATTTTGTAGGATGTAAACATATACTTAATGCGACCGATCAATAAATCATTTAATTTTTTTTTAAATTTCAATTTTAGAGGCATTGTAAAAAAATCTTTGGAATTTCGATTTTAAAAATATTTAGTAAATCGATAAAACTACTCAAATTTAAATTTTGAATGTGTACTTTCTAGTGGATTCATTTAATTCATTTCCAGGCTTAAAAAATCTTTTCCATAAAATTCAAGAAATGAGCTAAATAGAAGGACATACAGGAGGAGAGTGCAAAAGAATGTGAGAGGCAAATAAACGTCATTGCTATAATGTCTTTGCAATTCACACTATGTAAAAAAATTTTAATACGACAATAAAAAAATAACCTGTTCTGCGAAGAGTTCATCACTGCCGAAGAGTTGATTTCATTACTCAGCGGTATTCCATGTAATCATCTTTATCAAAGGTCCATTTCTGATAATGTTAGGTCAATAACACGACAAAGGTCACTGACATGTAAAAAGCTATTACAATTACAACGACAATTCGACAGAATGTATTGTGAATTTATTGGCATCTTGACAACAAGCTAGCTTTAAGCACATACACATATATTTTAATAAGTGCACATAAACAATAAATGTGTAAATAAACTGGCTAAATTAACTTCTATAAAAAAAGAAGGAAGGAAAAAAATTTGTAAAGCTGCTGTTAGCATATAATTAATGGAAAAATTATAAATGTAATTGTGTTTTAATAGAAGAAGCGATACATAATGCATATTCGATTTGCCAAGCTAAATATTACTATTGCTATTGGTATATTATTGTTACAGTTAACTTTGTAATTGTATTTATTATAATAATTATTATTGTCATGGATGAAGTGGTTACAACTGTTATTATAATTGCTATGATCATATGCTCGCGAGATCATTTTTTAGGTCCTTATGCAATTTCCATGCTTTATTTTGAGAAAGATATTTACGGAGTAATTGGACAGAAATATAATAGTGCGCATAAGCATATGTGATAGCACAGATGGGATGATGTGTAATTAGTTAATAGTGATAATTGATCGTAGGTTTACATAACAGAAATATATGATGTTACCATAACATTCTGAAATTGAAATATAAAATTTCATAATTATGAAATTTCAAATTGAAATGGGCGAAGTGCATTTATCTCTTTTCCTATAAAATTTATGATGATCGGTTATAAAATCTATCCTTCCTTCTTGATGGGCATTCGCATGATTTTCCATTACCTTGAAATCTTTATTTTCTCATAGAAAACATACTGAGGCGACAAAATATTCGTAATTTCTTAAATTTGTCATTTTGATATTTAAAAAAGAGAACAAGGAAGTTTGATATAAATTGTCGCTAACTCACATCAGTTTATTAAATTTTGAATTTTCCCTTTTCCAAGTGGTGATAGGAAGTGAAAAATACATTCTTCAGAAATTTAATTACTTCTTTAATCAAAAAAAGAAAACAATGCGAGAAAATCATCTAGAATATACGGTATTAAGTTACCAAAAGAAAAGATTCAAATGAGAAGGATTATAGTTCACATTTTTAATCTCAGTTAAAAAAAATTAACTGGGAAAAATGAGATGATTTTAAAGAACAGAAGTAATAATCGAAAAAAAAAATTAACGAGGACAAGAAGTATCGTTATAAATTCGTGATATTGCTCCTAACATAAAACTACGTTGAATAAAGTAAATAATAAAAGACTTCTCGTTGTCAATTAGGAGCTGATAAGTTTAATCGTGATACCATTATTCTTATTAGTATTGTACCATGATTGATCGATTGATCAAGAATAAGCGCTTGCTAAGGATGAAATATCTATAGCGATGAATGATTTGTAATATCAGATTAAAAAAAAAAAAAACTATATTTTAGATGTTTCATTCTCATTTTGCCACCACTGTAGCTTTGGCATCAATGAACAGCAGAAATCAAAAGTATCAGACAGTAACAACATCATGGAAAATCTTATGTCCACACTACATGATGATTAACTTACACGTAAAAATGGTGATTATATTACTTTGTGTACATATCCGAATATTAAGCAGTGATAATGATATCATGCCACTGACTTTACATTCTCACATGCACGAATCCTCAGTGAAGAGAAGAAAAGGTGTCCATTTGGACTGAGAATTGTTGACTGAAATGAGAATTTGGATACCGTGAAAATGAAGTGAAATATCTAATGATGATAAAGAAATTCTTGAGATCAAAGTTATTTGGTGAAAATATTATTTTATATTAGTATAAAAATAAATTCGTGATAGTTGCAGTAAAAAAATAGGCATCAGAATGAAAGTATAAACATTTGCGTTTGACGAGTAAGTGAATAATAATCGTCTATAAGTAATGTGAATAAACTCTATCCATGACGGAATGATGGCAGAGAAGGATCAAAGAAGTATGAATAACCCTCAAATCAAAACGGAAGACAAATCCTAGACAGTTTGGCTATCAATATGGTATATTGGAAGTCCAGAAACATCGCATGGAGCAACAGGAAAATAAAACATTTCAGAAAAGTATGGAGCAAAGAATGAAAAAGGTGGAATGGACAGTGATTATTCGAAACAGACAGAATAGAAGAGCAGTCATCGTCAAAAAGGAGATGAAAGCAATTGGGAATTGCTGTTTATTTCCATTACTTTATAATTACTTCAGAACACAACTGCTTTGAAAGATTACTCCAATCTTTTACAACGCCGACAGTCTCATCAAACCTTTCCAAACAATACATTCTGTGAGATCAGAGTTTTCATTGTGGCTTTCCAATTCCGAGCAGGACGCGTCATTTTTATAATTGCGATGAAATTCAAAAATAAATTGGTTTAGAGCTTTTTCGTTTCTAGATGGGTAATTTTGGTTCTGTGCTTTTTGTTAGATTACAGTCGTCTGCAGTTCATTCGACGCTCCGGTTATGGTAAGATTTAACTGTTTGACTTTCACTAACATTTAATCCTAATTTATGATTTATTCAAAAGTTTGAGTTTCAATTTGTCATTAATTAGAATGTAATTAGAATTGAAGTTTCAGCGGTATCAGAAGCTGAAGCATCTGCTAGGGTAGAACAGCATGAATTTCACTAGTTTAAATTAAGATTTTAGGCTTCTCAGTTGTCATTTGAACTAAACAATTTAAGAATGTGTAATTGAGGATCGACAATCGACGACATCATCGAACGCACGGTTGAAAGAGTTTGGCCCATGGACAGAGCAGTATAGTTCAGCTGGGAAACGCTACTTCTATAATCGAGAAACTGAGGTATCACAATGGGAGAAACCTCCTGAATGGCGAGAATATGAAAAGTTTCTGTCCGAAAATGCCGCAAATCAAAGTCCCATCTCATCTGCCTGTGAGCTTTTTATTCTTCGTTTAATTAGTTTGGTTCTGATTATGTCTAAAAATTATCGAAATAGAGGAATAGACTTTGTTACGTGCTATCCAAAATTTTTATTTACATCGAGTGAAAAAATGATTCTTATGCGCATTATAAAACTTATCGATTGCTCTCCAAATAAGTATTGTTTTACTGTTTTATGTAAAAGGGATGTTTTCTTCATGTATACTCACTATTAACATTGCGGTCGACAAAATATTTGGGTTGTAGATTATTTACCAATATTTGAAGAAAGACTATGTTTCGTATAATTTCTTCGCTGTGGCTCTAGCTTTTACAACTACTCTTGTAAAATTTATCTGTAGCTAATCAGCAATATATTGAGCTTAGCGAACATTTTGTAAATCCTAATAAACGATGTTATGCAATTACTAACCGTTATATTTCGATTTCAATTTAAATTATGATTTCATTAAATTACTAGCTCCTTAACTCCTAATTTCAATTTTAATTTAAATTCACTTTTTTTTGTCTTTAATCACTTCATACTTCATTCTCTCTTTGCTAATGTAAGTTGACAAGCAATGCTATATTTTATCATCTGATTTGATTATATTAAGATGAACATGTGGCCATATTTATGCATTCTTAAATTAGTCTAATTAACTGCTCAGAATAGACAGATTTAAACTAACTCTACTGAACTTGCTTCCGTTCCATCATCATGTTAATATTTAGTGGTCATGAGCAACGTGCTAATTGAGATTTGAAAAAGTTAAGATTTGAACAGTTCAGTTTGAACATTTGCAGAACGCGGATCCACCTATCACTAGTTTTTAACATTCATTTTGAGTTAGCAAGAATCTTATAGACTTATTTTTGTAAACTAATCAGAATATATTAACAAAAAATATAACTACAGCTGGAGTTCGTATTCCGTCAAGCAGCAATGCTGCAGGAATATATTTGGCCACTTCAGCAGATTCTGCAGCATCTGGTAATAATGGTGATGTAAAGAATAAAATGAAAACGCACGATGCAACTCAGTCAGCCGTGAGAGCGAAACGTCCGAAAATTGAAATGAAAGAAGAGGATGCAATCGGCCCAGTGATTTTTTCTGAAGAGCAGCACCGGCGATTTCTGAGGTTTCGTTTACTAACATGTCCTAATACAGACTCTCTCCATCAATCAAGTTGCAAAAATACCAGTCAGCTTTAGTTCTGTAGATTAAAATCATAGACTCTACATCAGATAATTTTACATTTGATTTGTTTTGTTAAAATTTCAGAGCAGATGCACAAACATCCACTCGTCGATGGCCAACAGAAGATTGGGAACAAAGTGCAATGAAAGCTGATGCAGCCGCACATAGTCTTACCTTGCAAATCATTTATGTATCTTGTGATTTAAAAAGTGCTGGATCGCTTGTCAAAACTGCTGAAATGCGTTCTTCGTTATTAGCACAAAAGTTGCAGTTTATCGCAGATCATCAGCGACAACTAGAAGCAAGTTTTGCACTTCCTTCTTTGAACAGTTATCAGTGATTTCGGATGTATATCCAAAATCCTTTTGGAGATAGCAGTTTAACATTAGTTGGTATCATAGTAATGATATTTATTTTGGACTATAGGACAGTGTTTCAAAAGTTCATCAAGAAATCGTGTATTTTAAGTTTCTTGAATTTCGATTACAACAAGTGTTCGTAGGTAAATATTTACTATTGTTTTGCATTTTTATATGTTATTTCATACAAGCGTGAAGAGAGATTATTGAATACTTAGATGGTAGCAATAGTGGGGAGATCAGGCTTACATCGGTGATTTATATGTATATTTATTTCTCAATGGTTTATAGCTTTCTTTGATAAATCCGACTCATAAAACATTTAATTCTTAGCAAACACTGCAAATAAAATAAACTAAAAACGCAGTGTAAAACATAAAACAATATTTTCAACGTAAAATTAATAAAAATAAAATTCATAGGAAGGTCCTGCACCGATCGTGCACAGCTTTTTCGCTTCGCTCATTTACAATACTTTCTACATCCATTTCTGATCGAATCGCTCGCAACTACAAAAACTAAGCTTAACTGCTTAAAGCACAGCGTCAAACTATTTAGAGGAACAAAAATAAAGCACGTAGAAAACTAACGGTATTTTGAGCATTTCGGATATCTCCTAATGGTGCTAATTTTTCTTTCCGTAGACGGGCAATGTTCGCTTGATTTTCATCAATGCAGTGTTGTATCAAATTCATCCTTTTAACTTTCATAGTTAATAACTGGAAATGACACTTCACTGTCTTCGCTAATCAATTGGGGAAACTTTTATCAAGAAACAGAAAAAGATCACTAAGAAGCAGTCAGCTGATCTTTTTTTGGATAAAATGGGTGGCTTATACTTATTACCTTCTTATAAATGGAACGACATTTCTCGCCTTTGTCCACATTGACGGAAAATGATTCGCTAGGCAGTGCAGTGTTTAGTTCAAACAATATTTTGTCATCGATCTGTCGTAATTTACTCAACATGTCCTGAAAATAATCTATTTCTTGTTGAGGAATACATATAAGTCAGAAACTAAATATAAAATCAAGGGAGAAATTTACGAACTTTTACTACACTTCACAGTTCTTTTTTTAATATATTAAGAACAATTAGTTCCGTAATCCCTGCTGCGATATTTCAAAGTCTGTGATTTCCCCCAATGTTCCGCGTTTCTAGTATGACTACGATACAGATGTAGTTTCCAATCTATCCTCAGTGAGTACCAGTTGTTATTAGGCATCTAATCCCAATCTCTAACAACATGTTTTCCCTTTATCACACTCCTCCAGTCTCATTCATTACGTCTTATTCAAACTATCAGCATTATTTACTTGCGTATCTTTTTTTGTTAGCAAACCGAAAAAATACGCGCACGAATTGGTTAAAATTTTAATTAAAGTAATAATGCTAAAACTACCTGAAATGCTAACAAATCAAGGCAATCGACCCGTTTTTCATCCATAAAAGCTCTCGTAAGCAAATTTCTAAAATCAAACCTAAGAATCAGTAATATTATGGAAAAAAACCACTACAAATCTTATTCAAAAAGATCATTTATTCAGGACGACCCAATTTAATTATCTCCAGCTGTGAAATTTCCCACCTAGGAACAACGAAAGTTTAAGCGATTGAACAGATGGTTATTTACAACTTTCATATTCAAATAACCGAAAAATCTGCAAAATACAAACACAGCTTTCAAGAAAAAGCATCGTCGATGTCAGTGAAAAAACACGCTGGTCTCAACGGGACATTTCTTGGACCAAATAAATGTCTTTAAAGAGTTTATTGAGAATTACATCCTACTATACCAAAAACAATGCAAGTCATTAACCGACTATTGAAGCACATAACTAAAAATTTTCAAGTACGTAATACACATAACATGCAACAAGAAATGCGCAAGTAATGATTAGCGAACGACATTGGTATAAACCAAATAAAACTTCGGAAATAACAGTTACTGAGGCTGAACTTCGGCATTTCCAGATTCTTCGATCATTTTAAGACTCGATTTCTGCGCTGAATCTTGTTCAGAATGTATGAATGACTTTCTCATATCATGACGACAATTGGCAATACCCATACCAAAACCCATGCCTACGCCTAACCAAAGTGGAAATTGTCTTTTAAATATTGCTGCAGCTATTAAACCAATGGTTCCAGCACTTACAGTCTTCAACGCTGTATCTGTCAGACATCGATCGAAAGTTTCACTGAGTTCATCTTCTGATTTCTTTACCATTTGATATAAATCTCTGCAATAATTACGTTAAAATAATGAAAATTATATCGATATTTTTTGCAATGATGAAATGAAAATTAAATTTTACAACACCAGTGAACTATCTATTTCGATTTATTGGCGAAAAATGTGACTTCTTTAGATATTCAACTAATTATTTCTAATTATTCGCTCAGATATGCATAAATAATAAACAAAATTCACCAGACCTCCTCATTCTCGGAAATCATTTCACCTCTCATAATTTTGTAACACAGCTAAATCAATAGACTATATCACAATCTTTTATGGGAATTCCCTTATAGAAAAATACCAATCTCTCTACATTATATACAACAATACATGTAATTGCCTTAAAAAAATTCCCTTAAATATCTAAGAATTTCGAGTGGTGATTAGTATAAAATTAACCGGAAAGGACAAAAGAGAGCACACCACCTTTCCTGTACGTGTTGCACGATAACTGAAATTAACTTACAGTCGCTAGAATGTACGTGAAAGCTATACAAAAAGCTACGCCTGTAAAAGAAAAGAATGAAAACGATAAAAAGAAGTTTCACTGCCATTTCATGAACCTCAAGATCTAACTTTTCCGACAGTGCTCTCACAGAGGAAAGTGGAAGTCAAATTAAAACTGACCCATCCACAAATGCTTCATATCTAATTCCATGTAAAACTACAGTTCCAACGTTTCGGAATTTAATTCCTCCCCACCTATTATGACTTCGATCCAATTAGTCAGTCATTTATTGACACATAGGCTAGCCGCGAAATACCGGGAAGAGATAAGTTTATCGCGGGGTAATGGAAAATTTATTATTGTATGTTGTGCTGTTTTATTTTAGTATCCGCTGTGGCATTTCTCGTCAACTGTTTAAATTAGGGCTGGAATAGGGGATGACTTGAATTTCTGCAATATTTTTTTTTTTTTTGTAAATGATCGGTATTGATTCCCATTTTCACCTTTGCAATTCATATAGCATTGATTTGAAATATCATTGTGGTGAAGGATTACTGCAACTTAGCTGTGTGTGTATATGTGTTTATGTGTGCATATATTTTATCATATACTTTTGTTCTTTCTGGTTTCCCTGGTAGTTTTTGAATTTAAATTACAAACATTAAATACCTTACATTTTTTACTTCCAGCCACGTAGCAAACATAGCTGAGTGTGATATTATCTAATTCTGCTTAAAGCTAGGCAATAAACATGACCTACTTGCTTAATTGTTATACAGAAATCATTTCTAATTTTCATACCTATGGTATTTTCATCCTACGCTTCAAATTCTCTCCAAAGTTTCAATTAATCATATGAAAACTTTCATAGAATCAATTTTACAATTTTGGCAAATGAAATAAAATACATGTTCTCAAATATTTGTAGTGGACAGTAACATTTAGCCCTAAATTAGTTCCGTCTTGTAACTACGCATGGATGAATCCAAGAATTTATATTAGAAGAATAATGTTTGAATGTTATATCCAAGGTTGACATCGAGAGATGGCGATGGAGCAGCTTCTGGAAATGTATAATGAAATCGAAGACAATCATTCATGGAATTCTGTTTATCAGGTATTATACTTTTGATTCACATAATCTGTATTTATTGAGTTGCTTAGAATAAATATCTTTAATACTTAGTAAACGATTGTAGGAGATAGATAAACAATCTTGCAAACAGGAAAGGAAGTTGAAATTGACAACAAAAGTTGCGCATTCATGGGAGAATGCTGAAAGAAATCGTTATCGGAACGTCTTAGCATGTTAGTCAATCTGTTATTCAATTTTAAAGTTATATCTGTGCTTATTTAATGTTTTGGGAGTTCTTCTAGCCCTTTTTTGGAAATGATATTTTACATAAAATTTTCTCCTTTATAGCTCTAATTTCCAGATGATACAAGCCGTATTGTACTAAAGCGGGAAAATAGTGATCGTTCTGATTATATTAACGCTTCGCCGTTACTCGTTCCAACTGCCAAACGTAATTATATTTTAACACAGGTTATTGTAAATTTATGAAACAATTTCATAATGAAGTTGAAATGCTTCTTTCAAATACTTCCCTTTATTATTTCAGGGACCACTTTCAACAACTAGTAACGATTTTTGGCAGATGGTGTGGGAGCAAAATAGCACACTTATAATTATGTTAAACAAATTGGTAGAAAAAGGATTGCCGAAGTATGTTGCACCTCTTTGATTACTTTGTATAAGCTTTTTGATTTCAAAAGCTGCGGTACTTTTTAAATACCATTCAGACACACATCTACAAAGCCTGAATATTATCGAATTAATTTATAATTATTTCATTTACATTTTTGAAAGTTATCGATACTTTTAGATGTCATGATTATTTTCCATCTTTGGGCAGTCCTGTGCGCGAATTCGATTCTTTTCATGTGGTTCTAAAAAATGAACAAGATTTTGATGACTATGTGATTCGAGATTTGGAACTCTTGCAGAAAACTAGAAATGTTTCCTTAGAAAAAGATGGACCTAATGAACCACTCACACGCAAAGTCAAACATTTTCATTTTATAAGTTGGCCTGATTTCGGTAATTCGTTGTTTTTTTTTTGAAGGGCAAGTTAATTAGATATGTACTTCTTATTTAATAGAACACTTTACCTAAACTTCTTGTTCAGGTGTTCCTCATTCAACTGCTGTGTTTATTGGATTTTTACAAAAAGTGCGTGGGACCGGACTTTTATCTGGAAAGGAACCTACTGTGGTGCACTGTTCAGCTGGTATTGGTCGCAGTGGGACATTTGTGGTAGCAGACTCGGTCTTATCAATGGTATTTCATTATTCATAACTGAATTTCAAGGTTTCATTGGTAGTTCTTTATTGTTTTTCACTCTATTAATCATCTAATTTCTTTGATTTGTTGGTTTACCTCTGTATATTCATTCCTATTTCTCTGCTTTTTTTGACAGTTCAAATTTTTATCTGCTTGAAATTAGAATTTTAATTAATGATAATTTGCAGGTTGAGCAAAATGTAAAGAAGATTGACATAACAAACTTGGTTGTAGAAATGAGAAGGTCAAGGATGGGATTGATTCAAACACCGCAACAGTTGCAGTTCTGCTGGAAAACCATCGCTGATGCATTGCGACAGGGAGTTGTTACTAAAAATATGAAATGTGATGAAAAATTCAATGATAAATTTGGGAGGGATCTTTTGGCTATACCCAACAATCACATTAATGGCGAACTGAATGAAGTATCACACTTGGAAAGGTCCCAAGCAAATCAGATGACTACGGATTTACATTCCAAGTCTTGTAGTGATTTGTCAACTCTCGGGAAAAGAACTTCCGCTGATTCTTATGAAATTGACAAAGGAACAAAATATGCAAAAAGGTATTCTTCTTTTTGATTAATTGTTGCAATAAAGGCTTATATTTCAAACTTTCAAGAAATATGTACTGACTTTTACGCAGAATAATCTTTCTGTTTAGCAAGGTTTTCGAAAAAATAAATTTCGTTCTGTTCACATTGCAAATCTTTAAGTTCGCATTCATTTTGAATGATTTTATTATAGTGATTCAGGAAGAAGCGTATAGAAGAGATGCGCGCGCGCCTCTTAAAATGTGAAAGTGCTCGTAAAAAGTGGTATTATATGGCAATTAGTCGCACTGGTGTCGGATGCGCATGTGCAGCAGTTGCAGTCGCTTTTGCTATATATTATATTTATCGTATAACATCATAATAGCGCTGACGTGATTTGTTTTCAATTTAATATCAGGCGTGACATTATGAAGTGGACAAATTTATGTGCGAAATCCGTAAAAATGGTTTATTAAGTATAAAGCTGTTCATTAAATATCAAGAAAGGTTTGCACATCGAGGAATAATGAGGAATCTTTTACTAGATTTAAAACAGTTTGTTAGATATTCTTGTCCGATATGTAAATAACAAACGTGTCCAATATGCATTATTGCATGTATTTCGGACGCGTTTATTATATATTTTAGTTATAAAGCGTTTTTTTAAATTTATTTTTTACTTTTTATTTCATCTATACACTATATGTTATTGCTCTGCATGATAAGTTAATATGGATTGTGAATATATGTTCTGTTTTTTCGTTAAAAATTTTTTTCCTGTCGTATTTGTTACGATGTATTTCAAGTATCATGTTTTTCCTTCAAATTTATGCATTTTCTTGACATTATTTTAGTTTTATCAGTTAACGAATTTACATTGAATTATACTGCATTCAATTTATTCAAAATTTCTTGCTGTACCGTATAATTGTTTGAAATTGTTTTTTCCAGCTATTTCACCTGCAGAATAATGGATTTCAGGTTGTAAGGTGATTAATTTCAAAGAAATGTCTCGAAAATTTTTGGAAGAATGTTAAGTTCCGACGTACTTGTGTTATTATGTTGTGCACGACACGTATTTGTATTCGTAGCATGTATAAATTTAGGAATGTGATGACACATTACCAATACTACCTTATCGCTCACTATATCCTATGGAATGAAATGGCGCGATTACATGTTTTTTTACTTATTATTTAGGAAATATCAACGCATCAACTTTAATTATATAACGTGAAAGTACACTGAAGGAAATGCCTAATTCTGAAAGTGCATTATATAAAAACTTTGTTGGTTTGTGATCGCTTTATTATTATTCACATAACATTGAAGCGTCATTTTTTCTTTTGTTGAGTAATTATTGTTTTACGCGCTTACAGTTTTTTTTTTGTCTATCGTCCCAAATGCTTTTATCTTTCATTTATCAATTTTACACTTTAATTTATAATATTCCGTTTTTCTTTATATGTTTAAGTGATGTTTCAAGTTTAATTGAATCATTCCATATCATTTTCTTTCTCTGCTCAATATCTGTTACTCATCGTCTACTTATACACAATGCCTTTTTTAAATGTTATTTTCCAATAGTAATAGGTAGGTGGATCGGATCTCCATTAGATGTATGTGTTCCAAAATTTTGCACCTATAGCGTTATGCTTAATTTGTAATTGAATACTATCAAAATTAAATAGATTCTCATCTGAAGTTTTTGTGTTGTTTTTTTTTTTTATATATTTTGCATGGAAAGAATCATTAAATAATAATTGTTTCCAAAAATTCTAAAGTGTTCACATCATGGTCTTACATCGTTTACCTTACGATAACGTTTAGTTGATTTGGAAAATACGAAGTTAGATAAATTTCTACCACAGCATACGAGATTTCATATTTTTTCGTTAATAGTGTCTTAATTTTATAGGCAGAAGAGACCATCTCAAAAGTTCTTGCTGGTTTTAGTTTGTCTTAATGTTTGGTACCAGTAATGCTTTTGGTCCAAGACCTAACAGTATATTTTCATCAGGCACGGCCAATACAAGTCAGAATCCATTGAACGATGTCGAAGTGGGTTATATCACCATTCTAAATTTGATAAACTTTACATTAATTTGATCAGTCATCGATATTCAAACGTTGGGGAAAGATTGGGAAATTAAGATCTGAATTTCTGAACTTTTTAATCTAAGAACTTAAACATACTGCTAGATTATGTATTTTTGGCTTTTAGAGTGTAACTTTGATTTTCTGGAATTAATTCGTTGTAGTATAGGGCGGGAATTTTCAAAATGATAATAAGAGTAATTTTAAGTGGTTCTATTGACTGATTGTGCTTGCTTAATAATGAATATGATGAGTGAATATATTTTCGTTATCTGTTCGGTAATTAGTGTAGAGTTTAGGATTTTTCGATGTAAATTTTTAGAAATCAAATTCTTGAGATGGGTGTGTGTTTTCAGGTGCCATCACCTCCTGATGATACAGTTGAAGCACTGAAATTTAATCCACAGATTGCTGGTCAGCCGGTTTTGCTTGTTTCGGGTAGTTGGGATTCGGTGATCCGTGTATGGCAGATTAGTGAAAGCGGTCAGTGTGAAGCGAAAGCGCAACAAAATGTTACAGGACCAGTTTTAGATCTTGATTGGCTTGATGTGAGTTTGGTTTTCATTTTGAGCAGCAAAGACCTTAGTTCAATATATAAACCATTCTTTTTGGTTGGTAATACAAAACCTTATTAAAGAAGTTAAGAAAGTTCAAGTTTATGATTTTTGATTTTGTCAAAATTTCTAACATCAGATTTATAACTGCGGTTGTTTCCTCAAATGTCGTATTGTTTTGCTTAACTTTCTTTAATTTTTTTGGGGTAATTCGTCGTTCATCAGAATGGTATCTTTTGAGATAGCGGTATACATAGCCTCTCTATCGTATTGTTTCTCGCTATTTGATAGAAAGTTCGTTGAAGGGAAAAGAAAAGTTAGGAATCGTGTTTCATGTTGCTGTATTTAAAATGTTTTAATCTTTCGTCAATTTCCTGGTAGTTATTGTCCAGTACACAATTAATTAAATTAAGCTTTTACTTTTATTTGTCGATACCGCAGAATGATTAGTTATAGCCTATATAGTAAAATTGTTTGTATCATTATAGGATGGCACCAAAATCTTTATTGCAAGTGCAGATAAACAGGTGCGAGTTTGGGATCTTGCTTCAAATCAAATGGCAGTCGTAGGAACAGTGAGTTTTTTTTTCATATACTGCGTAAATATTTATATAGTTATAATAGATTCCTTACTTACTGTAATGTTGGAATTATATTAAATTTTTTTTGTTTAATTTTTAGCATGATGAACCTGTCAGGAAGTGTCACTGGATCAAAGCTCCCAATTATAGCTGTTTAATGACTGGATCGTGGGATAAAACTTTACGGTCAGTATCAGTATTTTGGTAGTGTTGTTCACTCGGTTATGTGAAATATTCATTTATTAACTTTAAAATAAGTCATTCATGCTTCTTTATCACAAACTATTTCTTAATTAATAATGTGGTTTCATTATTTCGTAGATTTGCCCACCGTACTGTTATAATTCAAGGAACTTTTTGTCAGTTAAGTAAACTTCAAGAAATTTTGATTCACTGCAGATTTTGGGATATGAGGCAATTGCCTACGCAAGTATCTTTAGCAACAGTGCAACTTGGAGAACGTGTTTATTGTAGCGATGTGTTG